AAAAATGTAAAGATGCTTTCAGAGGAACTTTGCTGTTTTCTTACATTTCTTTTTTTTTCCATTTTGTTTTTTCATTTACATATTTTATTTTTTCATTTTTAATTTCACGAATTTCACAGTTCACACTTTTTTTTTACATTTCAAGCCCAACGTGAAAACTGGTTCTCAGCCAATAAAAATGTTGTTTCCAGCGTTTTGCAAACCAATAGAAAAGCATCTTCACTCGTCAATCTAGAGGAAAGCCCGCCCCCTGAAGAGAAGAGGATGTGGTCTGGAAAACTCAATCTGAAAAACAGAAATTTGTAAAAATATTGTGAAAACATAAAATCTGTAATAAAAAAAAAATTTAAATATAAAATTATAGTAAAAATAAAGGTAACAAAGAAAAATAAGCGAAATTCCTCTAAAAACAGCAGAACCTAAATAATTCCTTTAATGCAAAAATGAATTTAATGAAAATGAAGATCTGGTTCTATGGTTCAAAGGTTAAAAATAATGAGCTGGACGTGGACCAGCCTGACTCTCCAGAATCTGTGGTTTTAGGACTCTGGACCTCCATGAGGACGGCTGCGCCGTGGACATCCACCACTTCAACTCGGGCGCTCAGTCGGTTCTGGCCTACGCCACGGTGAACGGATCCCTGGTGGGCTGGGACCTCCGCTCCAACTCCAACGCCTGGACGCTGCGTCACGACCTGCGGCTGGGCCTCATCACGTCCTTCAGCGTGGACATGCACCAGTGCTGGCTCTGCTTAGGTCCGCAACACTTCCTACTTTCAGACCGGATCCGGAAGCTTCTCCTCTGTGACCCTCCTGCTGCGTTTCATCCTGCAGGTACAAGCAGCGGCACCATGGCGTGCTGGGATATGCGCTTCCAGCTCCCCATCTCCAACCACTCCCACCCGGCCCGGGCCCGAGTCCGGCGGCTGCTGATGCACCCGCTGTACCAGTCGTCAGTGATTGCAGGTTAGGTCCGTCTCAGATCTTCTGAGGGAGGTTCTGGACGGGGAGCAGCCTTCATCTGCTCTGTCTCTGTCTCTGCAGCGGTCCAGGGGAACAACGAGGTGTCCATCTGGGACATGGAGACCGGAGATCGGAAGTTTACCCTGTGGGCGAGCTCGGCGCCGCCGCTCTCTGAGATGCAGGTACGTTTGGGCTCATCCGACCCGTAAAGGCTTAGAACCCGCAAACGTTCCTCTCAGCTTCCTCTCCTTGTTCTGTTACAGCCTTCTCCTCACAGCGTTCACGGGATCTACTGCAGTCCGGCTGACGGGAATCCTCTGCTGCTGACGGCCGGGTCGGACATGAGGATCAGGTGAGGATTCACCTAACCTTCAAACGAAGGAAACCCGTCCAGAACCTTCTTTGGATCTACAAAGAAGGCCGTACTGTGACTGTTAGAACCTGTAAGGAATCATCTGATACAGTGGATAACAGAGGCTATGCCGCCCTCTGCAGGCCACCTAATTAACTGCATGTGAATTATATCTACTAAGGCAGGAAAAACATTTTATTTTTAATGATGCTTTGATGAGGAAATATATTCCTCCGCGTTTCTCCTTAGCTACAGAAAACAAAAAACAACAGCAGGTTATAATCAAGGGGTTCTGTTCAGGTTCTGGGATCTGGCCTATCCAGAGAGATCCTACATCGTCGCAGGAGGAGCCCACGACTCGCTGCACTGTCCGTCTGTCCTCTACAGCCGCAAGATCATCGAGGGGACCGAAGTGGTTCAGGTACTGAGGAAAGAAGCTCAGACCCACTAAGAACCACATCCATCCACAGCGCCGCCTTCATGTCTCTGCTCTCTCACCTCTGCAGGAGATCCACAGCAAACAGAAGAGCGGCGCTGCAGAGGACTCTCCTCGCCGTGGCCTGGAGTCTCTTCCTGTCGGCCATCATGACATTATCACAGACATCGCCACCTTCCAAACCACGCAGGGCTTCATTGTCACGTCATCTCGGGACGGCATCGTCAAAGTGTGGAAGTGAAGACGTGGAGAAGAACTTGAACTTTACAGATCCAAAACATTTGTTTTCTGTCCGTTCTCCTCCCAAACTTCTGCTTTTGCAGATCCCAATCTGGTTCCTGATCCAGATTCTTATCCAGATCCTGATGTGGTTCCTAATCCTGATCTGGTTCCTGATCCAGATTCTTATCCAGATCCTGATCTGGTTCCTAATCCTGATCTGGTTCCGATCCAGATCTTTATCCAGATCCTGATCTGGTTAATCCAGATCCTTATTCAGATCCTGATCTGGTTCCAGTTCCCTGTATGGTTCCTGATCCAGATTGTGACCCTGATCTGGTTCCTGATCCCGGTCCTCATCTGGTTCCTGATCCCTATCTTGATCCTGATCCATTTCTGATTCTAGATCCTGATGGTGATCTGGTTCCAGTTCCTGATCCAGATCTGGTTTCTGATCCTGATCTGGTTCCTGATCCAGATCCTGATCTGGTTCCTAATCCCGATCTGGTTCCTGATCCAG